TTATTCCATGCAATGTTACTGCGATGGTTTGACCTTGGCTAAATGGCAGGTATCCACCAAGTCACTCTATCACTCCCCCCCCCCCTTTCCCCTTGTTTTCTCAACAGGGCAAAGAGGGGAAGGAAGATAAACCAACCCTTGTGGGTGAAACAAAAGCAGTTTTAATATAAGCAAAATGAAGCAAAGGTCCGCATGTGGAAGCAAAAGCAAACAGATTTATCCTCTACTTCCCACGGACAGCCGCTGTGGGGCCTTCTCAGGATCAGGGCTCCAATACGCATAGTGTTTGCCTCGGAGGACCAAGGGTGACCCCAGCCCCGTCCTCCTTTCTCCCAGGTTTATACTGAGCAGACATCACACGGTCTGGAATATCCCTTTGGTCGGTTCGGGTCAGCTGTCCTGGCTGTGTCCCCTCCCAAGATCTTGTCCACCCCGTCCCACTGGGGGAAACGTCAGAAAGAGCCTTGGTGCTGTGTAAGCCCTGCTCAGCAGCAGCCACAACACCAGGGTGCTACCAACACCCTGCCAGCGCCCAGCATGAACCACAGCCGTGAGGGCTGCTGTAGGGGAAACCAATTCCAGCTCAGCCAGACCCAGTACACTGTCCCAGGGGGCCAGGGTGGCTGGCTATTTGGGCTGGTTATGTGCAAGGTCCTCAGGGCCTCTAGTGTCTTTGAGTGCTGCCGTGGGCAGTCAGCTGCAGCTTGTGTCTCCTTGCTCATGCAGATGGAGAGCAGTGTTTCAGTGGTCTCACCAGTCTTTTATTTTTTTTTTTTTTCAGATGGAAGAGGCTGTGAGTGGAGGCTCAGCCCCCATCATGGGGTCCCTGGTGCAGGCTTCCTTTTCTTGTTTCCACAGATCCAGTTCCATGCCTGCTGCTCCCCTGACTTGTCCAGCAGACTCCCCTTCCAAGGCCAAGCTCTCCAGCTGCTTCTCCCTCTTCTTACCACTGTCATGGGGCTCTGAGCCCGATTCCAGCCTGCTGCCCCATGCCAGCTCCAAGAAATCCCTCAGGGGGAGCTGGAAGAAAAATCCACATCCCAAGGAACCCCCTGATCTGAAACCAGGGGAGTCTGCATGTTCCCCCTTCACAGGACCCATCATCAGTCAGATAACTGACTGCATCTACCTGGGGAACCTCAACACTGCCTGCAACTGGCGGGTGCTGTGCATGAACAACAGCATTGACAGTGTCATCAACGTGAGCAGCATGCCCAGTGACCGCAGCCGGAGTGTCATTCCCGGCACCTGCCCATGGAGAGTGTTCAGGCACAGATGGACATGCCTTGAGGTTGACATCCAGGTTCTGCTCCATGGAGATTGTCACAAAATGGGGCAACCCTGCTTCCAGGACATCGAGTGCATTGAAGCCTCCCTGGAGAAAGGGGAGTGTGCTCTCATCCACTGCAGGAGTGGTTACTCTCTATGTCCTACTTGTGTCATCCAGTACCTGATGGTCTACCCTACGAGTTCATGAGGACATGCTACCTGCTGAACATCCAGGAGTACCATCAGGAGCTGCTGGTGGGTTTGGAGATGTCCCTGCAGCCTGGGGGCATCAACATATGTGCCTGAAGCACTCCCTGTCAAGGAAGATGGCACAGAGATAAATGGACAGGATGGCCATGTTGTTTGGCAGCAGCCCTGAGGAGGAAAAGCCAAAAGCCTTAACTCTAACTCATGGGTGAATGAGGTGACTGTAGCTGTAGCGTATGTAGGACAGCACTGGCACAAGATGCAAAGGTGATGGCCTTCCTTTGCAGCAGTTCCTAGAGGCTGGTGTCAGCAGAAGTAGAGCATGGGGAGCTCTTTTAGGGATACACTGGAGGGAGAAGGAATGTCCTGGGCAGGATGGGAGCTATGTGCTTTGCTTTGGTTGGATGTGATTTTGGGAAGGCAAAGGGCAGTCAGGCACTGGTTTGCTCAGTGGTCCTGCCTGGGCTTTTACCATGAGCACAACTGCTGCTGAGCGGAAGGTTTATTTTTTTTGCTAACAGTATCGTCCTTGGAAATAAGTCATAGCGTCATCTGGTGTCCTGTCACTCCATAGTGCCTGTCCACTTGATGCTTGTAGGGTGTTGAAGAGGGTGTAGGAGATGGCCATGAGGGTCAACTTGAATGGATCCATCAGTCTAGCCCTTCTCAACACATGATGGTTCCCTGGAGGAGACTGGACCAGAAGTGCCACACCTAAGTATCTCGAAAGCATAGGGCAGGACCTCCTGTATGTGTCAGGCCTTCCATCTGTGGCCTCGCAGGATGGTGAAAGTGCTCTGGGAATGCTGGACCATACCCATGGCACATTCCTCTAGCACAAGTGGAGGGGAACAAGGGAAGGCAACAAGATCATCTGCTCCACAGGAAAGGTACCCAAGTGTGAATGGTGCCTCCACTCCCAGCCGCTGTTCAATACCCTCACCCATGCTTCATTCACAGACCTGAGCACCTCTCTGAAGGACTCGCCTGGAGCTTCCTTATGTCTTCCTTGAGTTTTTTTCCAGGGAACTTGTTCATTCATCACTCGAACACTTATACTACTTCCTTTGGAAACCTCTGTATTTCTTAATGTTAACTACAGCTCCTAACTTTGGGATGGTTTTGTTTTTCTGTTCTCCCTGGTCCTCACCAGGTTTATTCTATGACATTCTAGGTCTGGGGCCTCTTTCTTTTTCTGGAAGAGCTGACCTACAGCTCAACTTCTGTTCAAGGCAGCTCCATGGAAAGCCTTCAAGCTTGACCTTTTGCTCACCCTATTACCACACCTCACTATCCACTCCTTCCGTATCCTAACACATCTGTTAGCCAGAATTTTGCTCATGGGACTTCTTTCTTTGAACTTCTTCATTCAACTCTTTCAGGCCAACACTTCCCTATCGCAATTTGACAATCAAAGCCTTGAACTCAGAGTGAATCTATTTTGCTGTGCTGCATGCATGGACTCCAGGAGGTTCAGAAAACCTTAATTTCACAGAGCTGAAGGAAACTCCTTGGGTGTGGGGAATTTTTGAATCGAGAACTCCCCCAATTTTGATCCCTCCACCAAGAGCTGAGCTGCTCTCTGGAGGACTGGTGGACCAGTAGTGGCTGGAATGAGTATGTGCATAGGGAGCTAAAGAAAATGGCTGTAAAGACTTTGGAAAAAATAATAGAGTTACTTACACTCTAGAGTCAAACACTGCTTATGGAGTTGGCACTGAGAGGAGAAGTGAAGCAGCTAAGCTGTCCCTGAATGGGTGATTTCCCCTGCTGGCTGCTGAGGGTCGTGGCTGTCTGTATGCAAATGTGCTTGCTCTGGTCTCTGATATTTCGCTTTCTGAGAAACTGGCTTCATCTGGGACAAGCAGACATTCCTCCTGCCAAACTGTCTGTTTTTTGCTGAAGTCCAGATGGAAGATGGGTGCTGGGTGCAATGATGCCTCTCAGTGGCCGCAATGAGGGATGCTCCTGAAGGCAGAAGCTGCTGGAGTTTAACCGCTGTGTTTTCTAGGTCTGCCTGGAGCTGAAGACCCCTATTTCCATTAGAGCTCACCCTGGGGGACGTGGCTGTGCAGGAGGTAGTTGGGGAGGAGGGTTGGATTGGGCTGATCCTCGTTACAGCTTTTCCCAAGCGTGGCTCCTTCACTGGGTGCTGACCCATGGCTGTTGCATGGGAGCCCAGGTGAGGGCAAAGCCAGCCAAAGCCTCTGCTGAATTGCACCTTCACAGAGTCTCACGGTGGATTTGCAAGGGGGTAGTTCAGATCTCCAGGCCAGCATACACTGATGCTGAGATGTTCTCTACCCAAACCATCTACCTCTTGGCATTTCAGAGGGACAAATCCTGAGCGGACCCAGCCTTGCCCACTCTAGTGGCTTCTCCCTCCTCTACCTGCTACGGGGCCAAACCCCTGCAAGAAGACCCCAGCCGCGTCTCAAGGACTTCACTCCTCCTTCACTGGTACCTGCAGCATTACTTGCCCGATGCTAAAGGTGGTGAAACAGGAAGCCTGCAGCAGCGGATTTGCTGCTATCTATATAACATCTGAGAGAACCTGGAAAATATTGTCAGGGCCATGTCTGAAACAGCCTAAAAAGCCCCAGCTGAAAGGGGAGGGAGCGCCTGTGTTGGAGGAAGAGAGCAGGAGCTGTTTGGGTTCCTGTCTCCATGGGACCCCCTACACACTAACACTACATGTGCTGTGACCGGGGCTGGTGAATATTTCCAGCTACATTTCCACCTGCTTCTCCTTCAGACCCACAGAGATTCGGGGCTGGGTCCCATGGTGGGGGGGTAGCGTGGGGCTGCTCCCCCATGTCTGCTGCCTCTCCCCAGTCCCCAGGGTTGCAGTGAACCTTAGGGCTGCCCGCAGAGGCTCCACAGGTTTGTTTTTTAAAAAAACCCTTAGTTGTGTTGAAATACCTCAGACAGGGAGGAGCTGCAAATGTTTCCCGTGAGGTAAGTGAGGTTAAAAGAGCATGCTCATGATGGATGGCTTGCTCAGGGATTGCTCTTGCACATGCTATCAGCGGTAGATTGTGGGGTGCAGGCTCCTTCTATTCACTCCTGAAGGGCAGAGCTGTTCTCAAGCCCTCAGAGGCAAACAGAGCCATGCCCCCATCTGTGGATAAGCCGCTCTGTGTCTCCAAGGGGAAATTTTATTAGAGGCCTTGCAGATGGATGGCTGTGTGCAGGGAGCCCGGGCTCCCCATAAGCTTGAAGCCCTATCTGGTGTGGCTGGTTGGTGGAAGGAAGAAGGAGAGGAAGGCTCCCTCCTCGGCAATCCCAAGGAAAAGCACCTCCCGGGCTCCTCCGGGGTGGCTCCGCTTGCCCGCCCCATGGGTAGAAGATGTCCTCCCCCTCCCCACCCCTCCATCCCCGGTGGCTGTCCTCTCCTCCGGGGCTGCCTGCCTGGCCTGCCCCAGCCAAGGGAGGTGCACAAGGGACTCTTGCACATCATTGGTCTGAGAAGGCCTCCATGCCCTTAAAGAGAAGGTGGATTTTCTGCTGAGCCACCCGAGAAGCCCTTTTATACCTCCTTACTCAGCCAGCTGCCTGCAGCTCGCCAGTCGTCCTGTCCAGCCAGCGGGACTCTGATTTTCTCCTCCAGACTTGGGTGAGCTATTTTGCATGTCTCTTAATGACGCAGCTTGCTCTTAGGGGGTGACGGGGATTAGGTTCACTCACCTGAGTTTTACGGAGATAAATACCAGGTGGAGGTGACCTGCTGGGAGAAACGGGGCTGCTAATAAAACCTTCTCCATCCTTTTGCCTGTTGGAGAGGGTCTGCGTGTCACAAAGTCTCCCTCTGTCCTTTCCAGTGACCTTCTTTCTCTTTGGTTTCATGCTTTCCCCTCCCTTGGTTGGTTCTGCTCTCCGGCTTGAGTGGGGAGGGCAAGCGGAGCCGCCGGCTCCCTAATGCTGACCTCCCCAGGGCCATAGGACTGGGGATCCTTCCTTGCCTGCGGTAACTCGGCGAAACTTCCTACTTACACCCCTTCCTCCAGCTCCCAACCCAGTCCTCGCAGTGCCTTCCTCCCCAAAACCACCCTCGGACAGGGACTGACATCCAAATTTACTGTGTCCCCCCCCCAGAACAGGTGATTTACCCACGTTGCAGGCAGCGAGCCGCAGCCTGGCGTCGTCCCCTTGCTTCCTCGGCATTGCTGCCGCCAAAGTGGGTGCGTGCACGCGCGGAGCAGGGATGTGAGTAAAAATAGCCGGCGTTCCTCGGCCGCCCCGTCCCTCAGCTGTAGCCCAGCCACCTGCGCTGGCTTTTGCTTCGCATCGCCCCGACCTCCCTGAGTCACGGGGGCTGGCACCAGGGAAAGGCTGCTGTCCGAGGAGACAGCTGCAGCTCCTTCTGCAGCTCCCTGACCATTTTTAGAAGCACTTTTCCCCCCCCCTCCTCCCTAAAGTAATGTGATGGGCCTGCACATTTTCCAGGATAAAGTTTCCTTGACCCTGCAAGCTGTGCCTCGTCCCTCGGGCATGAGCCCCCATTAACACTTCACCTCCCAGCAGAGCCTCCCAGGTCTGCAGAGGGCTGTGTTTCAGAGGCTTGCCTCTTGCAAAGGACTAGCTTCATTTGGGTTTGGCCAACACTCCTGCATCCTTCCGTTAGGAGATATAAACAGGAGATACTGCCCTGCTAGAAAAGTAAAACTCTATTTAGAGGGAAATAATTTACAGCAAAACAAAGGTGCCCTTCCATCTCTTCTCTAATACGCTGTGTTGTACCTGTTGAATTTCCACTTAAAGGAAATTAAAGGAATTGTCTGGGGAAACTTGTTGTGCCTTTACCAACTCAACAACAACTTTCAACCCCATCCTACCTCACCTGTGCTGAGACTGTTGCAATAGGCTCCCCTGGGTGCATATACGGGGAGCAGCATCCTCCAAATACCTTCCTTGTCACCTGGGGTCCCTGCCAACCCTCCACGGGCTTTGGGGCATTTCTTGTTCATGAAGTGGGGCAAGACTGCATGGCAAAGTGAAGCAGTAAAAGCAGTAAAAAGCAGAAAATAGCTTTTACCTCTTACGTCATTGCATAAAATTCTTTCCTGGGAGTCAAAAAAGAGATATACCTGCTGGAACTACTGTCACAAATCTCTCTTTTTCTGGGCCAGCACCATTTGGTCTGGTCCAGAAGTCCCCTGATGCTGAGGTTTGTGTTGCTGTGAGTAGGCACGTGTTTGGCTCTCATCCACAAACTGCAGCCTAGTTCCCTATATGATAAAAATTTGGAGAAGTTGGGAAATAAGAGCAAACCTGTTCCTCTTTTTTTTTTTTTTTTTTTTTTTTTTTTTTTTTTTTTTTTTGTAGGGGAATCTTGCTTTGTTTTTAAACCCAAGAAGGTCACCAGCAGCATGAATAATTGTGAACCTTTTTTCTTGGTTTTCATTACAGGCTCACAACCATCTAAAGCAAGATGTCTGAGTAAGTTCCCATTTTTCTGTCTCTAATATATTGTTGGCATTTAAAAACTTTTGTTCAACTGCCAACTTTTTGTGCCTGTTAAGATTCCTCTGCTTGTTTCCAATTAGGATGCTAACTGCTTTTTTCTCCCCTTTCCCCTTTCTCTTCCCTCCCTTTCTTGTCCATCTGCTCTTCTTGAACAGTGAAGAGGTAAGTGTGTCTTCCTAGGATTTTTCCTTTAGCAATGCTCATGGCATCAACCCTGGCTTCACAGTTCCTCTTTAGGAAAAGCAGTTATTGGGTGTCAGGGGGGGAAGAATGGTTCATGGCAAGGCTTTCTTGCTGACTCCTCCTGGTAAAGATGGGAAGGAGAAGAAAAATTCCTTTTGAAGATCTTTTCTGCCTCCTGGCTTGGTGTTAGATGCTTTTTTCCCTCCTTTCCTGCTTCCCCAGCCGGCCACGAGATGGTGCTGGGAAGGCGGTGGTCCAGAGCCACCTCTTCTCCATCACCCTTCCACCACACAGCCCCTGGCCTAGCATCCTCTCATCCTTCCCCACACGTAGCCCCTCATTTTCTGCCCACCGAGCACTGCCAAAATGCTTCTCAAAGGCCATGCAGGGGAGAATGAGCAGGGTGGAGGTTGCATCCTTAGCTTGTTCTCCCTGGCTCCTGGCAGAGCCGGGGCGGGGCTGGGCTTGAAGCCTGGGTGTGACTGGGCAAATGCAGGGGAAGGTGTGGGAGGGTTGGCTTTGTCACTCCCCATCTCCTCTTAGCAAGTCTCTCCATATGTCCAATACACGAGAAGTTCAAGCTTGTCCTCACTGAGAGAAAAGCGGATTTCAGAGACTCATAGAAATCCCACAGCACTCTTTTGCTAAGACACCAGTTTTCAGATGGAGAATAAACCCTGGGCTAACAGTGCTCAAGGGATCTGCTCTGTCATGGACCGTGCCTGTATTCATATGAGCAAAATCCTCTGGGTAATGGTGCACTGCATCTCTGAGCCGGATGCCTTTTCTCTGCAGCCCTGTCAGGAGGGCCTTAGCACCATTTACATATGCAAAGCATGTCAGATTTTGTTCTGCAGATTCTTATCCACTTCCTTCTCTGTGCGGTACAGACTTGCACCCGAATGCTGCTTTCTACTCCCCCAGCACGGCACATCAGATGTCAGGGTGTGTTTCCCCTGTGCCAGCCACATTCAGCCTTGCTCAGACCTCTGGGCAAAATGCTGAGGAAACAGCTGCAATGCAGCGGCACATCAAAGTTGTGGCTTCTTTTATAAATAGGAGACCTGTTGCTGCCGTTCCAGCATGTCATGGGTACAGAAGGGCAGGCTTGGTCTTCCAGACTCCCCAAATTATTTCTCACCTGACATCTCAGGGAAGAGGGAGCTGGTTTGTGTCTTACAGCCACAGCCTCCTGGGCAGAGCAGCATCTAGATCTGCAGACCCCGCAGTCATGTCTGTCCACCAGCTGTGATAAACCCCCTTCAGCATCACCTGTGCTGGGTCTTTTTGGCTCCAAGAAATCCCACAACCCTCCTGTTTTAACCTGCCTGGCCGTCCTCACCAGGTGTGTCACTCAGAAAGACATCCCATGGCTCCTGAATGCCCGGGGATATTGGGGATGTTAGCTTGAGCGCAAAGCAAAACCCATGTCTGAGTGAAGAGGAAATTAGAGAAAAGGCTAAAAGTCCCAAGAAGCCAAGCTTGAAGTTAAATTTTATATGCATATCTTCAAGTTTGTTACCCTTATTATCTTTTCCTGATGCACTTCATAGGTTTTAGCTACCACAGGTTTGGCAAAGTTGGTCTCAGCAGGGAGACTCTTTGAGTGCCACCATTTTGGGGACAAACTGTGTGCCAAGCCATCCATTCTGGGGGGAGCCAGCTCCCTGGCAGGGCTGCAGCTCCTCGGTGGACTGTGGGGTTGAACAGGGAAGGGGAATGGAGAGAGGAATGGGCACCCAATAACCTGTTTTTCTCTCATTCCTCCCACTTGCAGAAAAAAAGGAGGGCAGCCACTGCCCGTCGGCAGCACCTGAAGGTACGTGGCACTGCTGGGGCTGGGTGAGGTGTGTCCTGACCATTCCATCTCCCATTCTGAGCCAGCCAGCTCTCATCATTCTCCCTCCTGGAAGAGGCCATGATGCACAATGTGGAGGCCCCCAACCCCGCTCCTTACTGTGTCCCCACCAGTATACCTTGCTTGGAGATGCTGGTACTGATGGGGAGCTCTCCAAGCTGCCTCTCCAACAGGGCTCTCCTCCCCTTTTTCACCCCCCCTGCCCTCCTCCCTTGCCTCCACCGTGTGCTGACCATCTTTCTGCTGCCTTCCAGAGTGCTATGCTCCAGCTTGCTGCGACCGAAATAGAAAAAGAAGCAGCTGCTAAAGAAGTGGAGAAGCAAAATTACCTGGCAGAGCATTGCCCTCCTCTGTCGCTCCCAGGATCCATGCAGGAACTTCAGGTAAAGACTTCTTTAACCCTTTCCCTATGCCAGACCAGAAATTATTTGGTGCCATCAGTCAGCCTGGTGTGTCTAGATTGGCCTTCCTGTCTTGAGCCCCTTCTCACCTGTGGGTGCCCTGGAGCTGGCTGGATGTGGAGCTATCTTGAGAGGCAGCTGGGAATCTCTCTGAAATAAAAAAAGGGGTCTGGCTGGCAGGAAAGCTGCATTTCTAATGATGTGTTGAGGCAGGATTTGTGTGAAACCAGTAGCACGGAGACCAGGAGCTGGTGTGCAAGCCACCCTTCACCATCTGGTCTTGACCCTATCTGGTCTTCTGGACTGAGGTCTTTCAGAGCCAGAGCAGTCAGGAGGGAGCAATCACGTGTGTGGGTCCTAGCTGTCAACACCCCTCTGTGCTTTTCCTCCCAGGAGCTGTGCAAAAAGCTTCATGCCAAGATAGAGTCAGTGGATGAGGAGAGATATGACACAGAGGTGAAGCTACAGAAGACTACCAAGGAGGTGAGTTTCCTTGGAGCCATCCTTCAGGGGAGTCTCCAGTCCATCCTTTGTGCCTCCCCACACCACTTGGGTCCATCTCATGAAACGCATGCCCTGCTCTCTCTCTCTGCTCCCACCTCATTTCATCCCCTTGCAGCTGGAAGACTTGAGCCAGAAGCTCTTTGACCTGCGGGGCAAGTTCAAGAGGCCACCCCTGCGCAGGGTGCGCATGTCTGCCGATGCGATGCTGCGAGCCCTGCTGGGCTCCAAGCACAAGGTCTGCATGGACCTCCGAGCCAACCTGAAGCAAGTCAAGAAGGAGGACACCGAGAAGGTACTCCTTCCCTCTCCCCTGTGCCCATACAGCACTTGTCCCCTGTTTTTTGGGGCTCATGTCTCCGTGTGTGATAGACAGGGTTGAGCGTAAGCCTTTCTCCCTAATGTTTTTCCTGCTCAATTATTTCCTCTTCTGGCACCCATGATCTTGAAAAAGGAGGGTGCAGCCCCAAAAGGTGTACAGCATGGGTGGAATTGGGTTCCTTTAGCCGAGGGGTTTTCCGTGGTTGGACAGGTGAAGGGCCCTGCCTGGGTGGGTTCTCACCCCGGGGGGCACTGCTCACACCCCCCCCCCCCCCCCCCCCCCGGAGGAAGAACATTGAGGAGAAGTCTGGCATGGAGGGCAGGAAGAAGATGTTCGAGGCTGGCGAGTCCTAAGCATCTGCCTCTCCACACCCGTCCTCCACTCCCTCCTGTCCCCACCAACCCCCCAGGCTCAAGGGCACCAACTGGGTGCTGTTTCTGGTTTTGCGAAGAGCTGCGTCCTGGCAGCAGCAGTGTAAATAAAGCTTTGGCAGGAGAGGCGGGTGTTGCCTGCCTGGGAGGCCGGACCCCAACCCATGCCATGATGCCAGCAGAATCTGCCCCTGCTGTGGGGGTCCTGGTGGGGATGGGGAGGCTTTGGTGGGGTCTTGCTGTGGGGATGGGCCACCTCTCTGCTCTTGGTCCTCCTCGAAAGCTGGGAATGCTCATGCCCCTTGTTGCCGGGAAGAAAGGCTGAGGCCATGCCACCACCCTCAGCTGGCATCCTCCTGCCGGGCTGTACCACTCCATGTCCTTCACCAGTGATGAAGAGACAAAGAGATGAATCCAAGCCCCAGGAGGTGTTGCAGAACTTCCACCCACGGTGGCAGCAGCAGGAAGCCGTGGGGAAGGAGCAGAGCCTCGAAGGGAGGTGAGGGGTGACGGCTGCAGGGCAGAAGCAGACCCTTCGGCTTCAGTGGGTTTTGAGACCTGTGAAGTCAGGACAACCCAGGCAGCTCCTGTGGCAGCACCCTGGTACCAGTGCGCTGTAGGGTGCTGGGAGTCAGAGATGCTGGCTGTCCCCAAAGTGGCACAGGCATCTGGGGAAGAGGCAGGTCATTCCTCTCCCTGCCATGGTGGGGTTGTCCATGAGCCCCACTTTTCTTTTGGGTTAGTCCAGCACTTCCTGATTTTGAGCTGCTGGCAGAAGTAAAACCTTAAAATACTCCCAATGGTTTTAAAAAAGAAAAAAAAACCCAACAGACCAAATTTGCCTTCCCTCTGCCCCTCTCCCATCCCCCCAAACCCTCAGCCCATGAAGTTTCCGGCACAGCTCACTTCTGCCAAGCACAGGAAAAGCGAAACGACGGCAGCACCCTTCTGCCGGAGCTGTCCGTGGGGCTGCCGTGTCGGCCGGGGGAGAAGATGTCAGACTCAGAGGAGTGCCAGAAGGGTGCAGAAGGTGTGAACCAAGTGGGAGATGAATCTCCTGGGGAAAGCGAGAGGTGAGGCCTGGGGACCCAGTACCCCAACACCACGGCTGCCTTACAGTCCCAGGAAACTGGGAGGCTGGGAAACGGGGGAGGTGATGGTGGGAAACGAGGATGAGTGGCCAAAACGGTGATGACCCATGAGACTGAAACAGGTCAGATGCTCCAGCAGGCTTTTGACAAGCTCCTCCAGCTAGCGAGAGACTTAGATTTTCTAAATGCCTCATCTCTTTTGAGCTTCAAAGCCCTTGAGAGGGGGTGGTTCAAGTGGGGAACCAGAGCTCCAGCAGCAGGCAAGCTCAGCCCGGAGTCTGGTGACCTGGACCTGCTCCGCAGCAGAAATCAGCCCCATCTTTAAGACCAGTGGGTGGAGATCAGCTGTCTCTTCTCCTTGCAGCAATCACTGGGCACATCTGATTTCTTGCTCTGTCCCCTACATCTCTAATTGAATTAACCTGGCAATGTTTCAGGCTAGTTGCTCTAAGGTTACACATCTCCCTGTGCCTCCACTCTGCTTTGTTCCTTTATGAGCAGAGATTGTAGAATGTGGGGTCTCTTCGTTCTGATACAGACAGCTTTCCACAGGGGTTAAAAGAAGACAGATCAGAAGCAGGGACCACATCTGTCTGTGGTGGAGGCAGGCAGAGATAAGCTCTCCGAGGTGTATCACCCAGCAGTATTTGGACTGGATTCAGGCTGAGCATCCAGGGAGCTTGGGGGGTTGCCTGATTTTTCACCTCCAGCTTCAAAGCTTGCATTAGCATTTCTCCCCAAGGCTTTGAAAGACAGTGCAGTTAATGTTGATAGGAAAAAAAAAAACCCTTGAGTGACAATAAAAGGAGAAAGGTGTGTCATCTCCTGTCACTAATGGTTGCATTAAGTGTTTTTGGCTGACATCTGACAGCAATTAGCCTTGGCTGAAGACTTCCCTGGAAGCTTCAAAAGGTGCTGGAAGGGTCTACATGGCTCTCTGCTAAAACAAAGGGGAAGCCTTGGGTGCTGGGGGAGCATGGGGTTTCTCAGTGATCTATGTGATTTCCAGCACTGCTTCAGCCTGGCTGTGCCTCCGTCACAGGCTCAGCTCATCTTGTAGGAGCCAGGAGCAGGTGCTGGGGGTGGCCCAAGGTCATGGAGCCTTCCCGCTCCCCTCTTGCAGGTACAGGGGTGCAGCCGGACCAGCGGCGGGGGCTGCTGTCAGGCAGGGTCAGCTTGTTCCCCTCCCTGTTTCCTGCTGGAGTCTCAGCTAAATAAGCAGCTGTCTGGAGGGGTCTGTTCTGTAGCATTCCAGCTCTTACAGCCCTTAGAAACATGTTTAAAAAGTGTGTATATGCATACTGATAGCAGGGCGGCACATCCCTTCCTCTCTAGCTCCCTGTTAGAATTTTAATGAGATATGAAACTTGATGCCAAAAGTAGCAAGCAAAAATAACTTCCTTTTTGTTTTTAAAATACAGAGAATTACTTTCTCTCTCCATTTGGGTATTAGTTTCGTGTGCAGTTCTACACTTCTCCTGCTTTTACTTGTGCTATTTAAATGTTTCTTGCTAGGCTCTGGTGACTTCCACTCCCAAAATGGAGGAAGGAAGTGTTTGCTTACTGTTTGGGGCTACCTTTTCTCACCCTGTGGTTAGCTCGGCTCTCTGATCTCCTCTCCTTGAGGACAAATCTCTTTTCAAGGTGAGCTGTGTATGGATGGAGGCAGGACACAATGCTCCTAAACCAGCTTAAAGCATTCTGGAGGTGTGAGCAGTGAATCTTGTGGTGGAGTTGACAGGAAAGTCAGTCCTGAGGCTCTCTGGTGTAACAGTGAGGAAATAGGGGGAGAAAAAAGGTGTTGGATTTGCTTAAACAATGAGCCTGATCTATTTAACTGTGCCCAGTGTCTATAGAAGAGGAGCTTGCATTAGAAAAGTCCCAGAAATCCCAATTTGGACATAGTTTACTCTGTTTCCCCATACCAATGGGGACATGCTGGCAGTCTTATTGATGTCGGTGTAACACCACCTAAACCAAACTGGTGTTATGCTCTCTTCCATGAACTGGAATTGCTATACAGGAAACTACTGTGGTGTGAGTCTGATGTGAAGCCTTCCCAAAAGAAGCAAGAAGCTGGAGTGGGGCTTTGGGGAGGTGGCTGCTGGGGTTGTCCTACCCTGATGGGACAACGTGGTGCAGGGTGAAGGAGCCAACTCTCCTGCCTTGACAGTGGGAGGTAGGGAGCCTGAGGCATGGCCTGCCTTTCACCAGGACTAGATAACCCAGAATGTATTGGATCTGTTCCTCAGAGCACTCTCCATAAACTTTGGAAGCTCCAGGCAGCCCTTGACTTCAGCTGATCCACCCGTGGCACATCTCTACAGCTGGGGCTCTGCCCCGCAGGGCATCTGCACCTGAGGGGCAGCATGGCTCATAAGGCAGGTTTTTCTTGCCTGTGGGGTCTGAGATGAGAGACTGCCTCCTCCCAAATTCCCATGTCGCCTTCCTTCTGGGGCTTCCCACCCTGTGAGCTGCAGGGAGCCCTTGGCAGCCCATGTATGGTCACCGCCTGGGAGAGGCTCTGGTGCACTAGCAAGCCCTGGGCTTTTCTTTGCCATGTCTGCCCCCAGCTGTCTTGAATTCTCCAGATCCCTAGGGTAGTCTCAAGGGTCTTTGCTAGGATGACTGCTGTTGCTAAGTATACCCGTGGTTGGAAGGAGGTTTTCTGGGAAAACTGATATGTGGGGAGTCTTTGGACCCCTCAGGACACCAGATTCCTTAGGGGAGGGATGGAGGGATGGCTGATCCCTGCTCAGGAGTAAATGGTCACAGTTTGACCCAACTGGGCTCATTAAAGTGGAAAAATAGTAGGGAAATGAACAGGGGAGGGCCAGATGGATAGGGCAATACTTTAGTGTTTCCAGATTGGATATAGGTGCTCTGGCAAGTGGTGTTAGGGATAAAGAACTGTCTCTGTTTATAGGGAGGTGTCAGGTGCCTTCAGTGCCTCTTTCTCCTTGAAAAAAAAACCCAAACAAAACCAAAACCAAACAACCTGCTTTGCCTCTGAACTTATTTTGCAATGTAAAGCTATGGTTTTGGAGGTATGTGTGTTAAAGTAGGGGATTGCCCAGCAGCCTATATTTGAATTTTACTTTTTTAAACCACAGAAGACTCTCTGCTGGCTGGAGGGCTGGCTGTTTTAAAAGTCTTGGGGAGAGGTCTGGCTCTGAAGCTTATGGGAATCCCTTGTCCCTGGATTTTGGAGAGACCTGGCCACTGGGAAGGCTAGGCAGGCTGTGCCAGGGACCACCCTGGGGGGTGCTAGGGAGGAGGTTTTGCCAGACCAGCGTTGCCAGGGTGAGGTGAGGGAACACCTCTGCTGGCTGAGGCGGTGCTGGGGTTCCTGTTTCTCTGGAGGAGAGGGTGCAGAGCACCCCTGGGTCACTGAACCCATCTGACTGTGGGGGGCTCAGGCATCCCCTGGCTGCACCCCACGAGGGGGCGAGCTCTGCTTGGCGTGCTTCATCCAACAGCACTGATAAATCTGCAGCAATGAGGAAAGCAGAGATGTCCAGGCAGAGTTCTGGGGCATGGCAGGGCTATACCACTTGTGTGGAGCAGGCAGCCATCCCCCAGGTTGGAAATGGCCCCTCGGGAGAGCTGCTGTCAGGGGACACGGTAGCACTTTGGGATAGGGTGGGGTCCTGGCCCTGGGATGGGTCAGGGTCTGTTTGTAGCTCTGCTGCCCGCATGGATGAAGCTGTGTGGGCTTTCCCAGGTTTGCTGTGACTGAGACAGGGCAAGTGCTGCTCCGTGGGCAGAGCTGGGTAAGCACAGAGCTGTGGAGGGCTGGTTTAGGAAGGTGGGACAAAAGGGGTTTTCTACTACCTTCCCTGGTCTGGGCATCCACCCTGGACGTGTGGGCCTTGTATGGCGTGCTGCTTCACAGGGTTTCAGGCCTTTCCCACAATCTGAAAGCCCTTTTCCTCACAGTAACTGGAAGGGCAGAAGGTATCATGGCTGGTTCCACTGCAGAAAAGTGATTAACCTGCCGTGTTCTGGGGATCCCACTGACCCTGCCAACCCAGCCCTGGCCAATTCTCTGCCTGCATCTGCCCTTCACATCC